GTGCTACTTTGCAGCTACTGGGCCTATATTGGTTGGGCCTCCCAACTGTCAGTGTATGAGGCTGTGTTTCTCGTCCAGGGCCTGCGTGCTTCAGAAAGAGCCTGAAAGGCCCATAAGGCCGTGGAAATGTCTTGGTTGCTCGGTCTGTCTTTCGCTCAACTAATTGGCGCGTCGCAACTACCTGGACACCAAATATGAAATTGACAGTCAAAGGCCTCTTGTGATAAGTTAGGCCCGCCTTCACTTGGAAGAGCACACCAGTGACGGAGGGGCGCAGCGCTACAGGGAGCGTTGTGCCCCGGCACTGACCGCGATGGCGAAGTGAGGCGGCGAAGCGCGAAGGTGTCTGGCTCGAACCGGTTTCGCTCTGGCGCGTTCATACGGATGAACCACTACATGGCGATGGCGTGACAGAGGCGCTGGTGGGGTAAGGAGGAGTTGATGGGCTGGGTTTCGAGCTTACAGCAACTGCTTATTAGGCGTTTTGCACACGCGCGGGGAGCGAAGGTGCTGGTCTATACCGTATCACGGGTTGATAGGGAGATTATATGACTCCCGGAGGCTTTCTGGGAGTTCCGCGTTCATACTAAATTGCTGCTGCGTTTTTGCCCGTGGCATAGAGCATGTGAGGTGTCGTCTCTGGGGATGCCTGTGGAGTGCAGCGGAGTGAGCCTTGGGTGACCCGAAGTGCGAGTGAAGTAGCTACCCGTCATCACCAGTGTCGTCGTCCATCAGCATCAGGGATCGGTCGTGACTCAATGGAATATGGGGAGGGTCCATCATTATCATCAGGGCTGCCCGTCATCGCCATCATCATTTATAAGGGTGCTGGTCTTCATCATCATCCAGGCGGCAACAGCAGCCGCGTGCCTTTTGTTAGTAACACCTCCATTATCACTGTTGTCGGGCATGTCTCAAAGGAACAACATAAGGGTTTCGTTATCATCATCAGGGTTGCTCGTCATCGCCATCATTATCATCATGGTGTTGTTCCTCATCATCATCAAGGCGGTAATAGGAGCCGCGTGCCGCTTGTCAGTAACACCTCGTCACTAATATTAGAAACAAGGTAAGTTACCTAGAGTGTAAGCACCTCATCAATGCTCTACTATTTTAGGGTGCTAGGGCGCTGTCCATCCCTATTATCATCATCACTAGTGCATCATCACAGGTGCGCGTTATTAGCAATTTCATCATCCTCATCGTAGGGCGTTGTGTATCCCTTTTATCATCATTACTGGTGCACCATCATAGGTGCGCGTTATTTGCAACATCATCATTATCATCATCACTATCACCTTCACATCATTATCGTCATTATCATCACCATATCGTCTTTATCATCATTATCATCACTACCATTATCATCATCATCATTATCACTCATAGGACGCTGTGCGTAGTCATCATCATCATCATCATCATCATCATCATCATCATCATCATCATCATCATCATCATCATCATCATCATCATTTTCATCGCCTCATCAAGATGTAATCATAGGGTGTTGTCGGTATTGGTCCTCAGTACGATAACCACTATTATCCCGTTTTCATTTTCACTATCATTATCATCATCATCATCATTTGTTCGTCTTTTATATTACTAAGGATTCTGGTCGTTATCATCATCTTCGTTGTTGGTACTGTTTTCCAGTACGATCAGCGCCATCATCCTGTCTTCATTTTCACCATTACTATAATCATTAGACGATGCGTTTCAAGGCAGTGTTCGTCTGCCATATTAGTAGGTGATCATCGTCCTCAACGTCATCATCTTTAGGAGGTTGTTCAATCGCAATTAAAAAATTCTCATCTGCTTTTTTTCCCCATCGTGACTTTTCAAAATTTCCAATTCATTGTCCTCAACGTCATCATCTTAAGGAGGCTGTTCAATCGCTGTTCAATCGCAATGAAAAAAAAATTCTCATCTGCTTTTTTTTTGCATCGTGACATTTCAAAATTTCCAATTCTCTCACTCATGTTTGCAGACTTCGATCTGATGGGTGGGTTTCAGTCGGGATAGGGCTTCTGTGGTCATGGTTTGGACCCTCGCGGAAAGGGTGGGGATGGCATTGGGGAGCCCTACTCTACAGGGGCGCTGCAAGGTGGGAGGCGGCTGCCCTGTTGGGAGTGGGGCAGATCTGGTTTTGTCCTTGTCTGGGGCCGGGGTGGGAGAGTTGGTCGCCCTCAACCCCGGCGGGGGCAGATAGGGATAAGGGGAGGGCGAAGGTATCCTCTAGGAGGGAATTGGCTGCCTTTGCGGAAGGGGGAAAGGAGGGGGTCTGTTCCAGGTTGGGGCCGAGGAGGTTTTCCTCGGCGGTGGCAGCATGAGACAGGTTTGTGGAAAGTTTTTCTGGGCGGTGACTCGTGGAAGCATCCTAGTTGGAGCGTTCTTTGATTCCTTTTGTTATGCCTGGTAGTTTGGAGAATGCCTCAGATCTTTGAGGGTCTTCTGGTGGTTTGTACGAAGCTACACTGAATTTAGATTGTTCTATTCAGGACCCGTGGTTGTTCAATGCCAGAACGACGCTGGCCGGAGCCGGGGTGATGCCCTTTAACTTGTCGAGGGTGAGGGCACGAGGCCTTGTAGAGAGATCTGGGATGCTATGCAGGGGGCATCCTAATGGACAGTTGCAGGTTGCTTACACAGGACGACGCTGGCCGGAGCTGGAGTGAGTAGCGTTGCTTTGTAACCTATTAGATAGGGGGCGTAAGGCCTGGACGAGTTTGTCAGAGAATAAGTCAGTCTGGGTGAGCTTGGCTACGATCTGTTGGAACCCTTAGATACTGGAGTGTTTGGAAAATTGCTGCGGACGTCAGGAGGTGTTTAGCAATTGTAGTCTTCTCATCATATCATTACCATCATTATAGGAATTAGGGCGTCGTTCGACACACCTCGGGGACGTGATTCCAAGGATTTCGTCTTCGTTCCACCTGTCCTCGGAGCCGATTTTCGAAACAGAAATGTGAAAACACTCCGAGGACAAATCCTCGGGCTCCGAGGATTTTCCAGCCAAATCGTCCTCGGCTCCAAGGGACCTCGCGAGGTCCCTCGGAGTCCGAGGATCCGCGATAATCGGGGTGTCGGCGGCGAGTCCAAAAGGGAAATTGGTGGTCGGAGGTGGTCCAGTGGTGGTCCTCCGTGTAGAAGACGGACATCGCGAGGCGCCAACGTCCAAAACGTCCACCAACGGCCTTGTCTTTTTACCGTTGTCGGGGATTGGAGGTACGTCCGTGTCGGTTCGTCGGGTGGCCCCACGGCGGTGCCGTGCCAGGCATCGGACGTTTTCGGGCGGGTCGTGGAGGTGTTGTAGCGTTCCCGTGGTCTGCCCAACAGTCGGAAACACGAATTTCTTTAAGCCTCCACCCCCGGCCGGTGGCTGCAGCAATTTTGTACGTTAGCGTCTTCCCTCGTGCAACGTGTGTCTCCGGTCGCCGCGATAGCGAGAGCCAAGTGCGTCCCCTCTCCTTCATGGCTGACCTGTGCCGCAGGCTGCCTTTGTTGCTGCTTGTCGATGTGCTGCTGCTTGCCGTTGTCGTCTTTCATATCTGCATCCTCTGTCGCGTCCCTGGGAGGAAACAGAGGCGGCAAACGACGAAGGCGACCGGGAAGATGGAGAAGGTGCAGACGAAGAGGACGATGTCCGTAGGGGCTGGCGGGTCGTTACGTCAGCGTTGCAACTCTGCAGAAGACGGCAGGCGCCCGTACGACCCGACGCTGTACAGCCACCTGCCGTCCCACGCGATTCCATTGCCTCCGAGTGACGACGGCAGCGACGAGCCCCGATCATCAACGGTTCCTCTGGGCAGCGGTTCGACGCCGTATTGGATGGGGAGCTAGCTGTACAGACAGCCCTCGACGCCGACGTACACTGATCTGCTGGAGGGGCAGACCCCGGTTGGTTATGATGGAGGGCTCGTAGATCTCAGCTTCGGTTTGAGGTCTGGGAGTGGCGAGGACGTCACGCACACCGTTCTCGTGAACCCGGGTTCAGGCAGCAACCACACAGCGCCTTCAGTGGGGCCGTGTGGCCTTCCTGACACCCGCAGCCGGGGTTCTGGTCAGTCGGGCAACGAACGTGGACTCATTTCGTGAGGGCAGGCGCCAGTGGGCACAGCAGGTGTTCGCGCGTCGGGGACGAGGACAGGTGGATCGACAACGGCAGGCGGCGCAGTCCACCGAGGACGAGATGACGCTGACGGCTACGCTGCGGAGGTCGAGGGGCGAGAGGTTTGGGATGATTACCAGCGACAATCGCGTCAATCTAGCACGTCCGCCATAACGAGAGGGGTGGCGAAGATCAATGTAGGGGCGGACGACACACCCGACGATTGCGACGGTGCGGGTGGTGAAGATTGCTCGGCAGGCGACGACGGCAATGACAACGACGACGACGACGACAGGGAGATGGAGATTCGTCCGCTGGGGAAGAAACGGGGAGGGCCTAGGGCTGTCTCTTATACACATCTAGATGTGTATAAGAGACAGATGTAGGGGCGGACGACACACCCGACGATTGCGACGGTGCGGGTGGTGAAGATTGCTCGGCAGGCGACGACGGCAATGACAACGACGACGACGACGACAGGGAGATGGAGATTCGTCCGCTGGGGAAGAAACGGGGAGGGCCTAGGGCGACGAGCAAGTCCAGCGAGCCGCGCGCGGGGCAGAGAGGCAAGAAGACTGCGGGAGATGCATCGGCAAGCGACGAAGCGAAAAGCAGGGAGTTTTGGACCGTGGAACACATGATTGCTCTTGTCAGAGCTTAAAAAGACCAGGATTTGCATTTTGTTGGCCTCGACCACAACATGGGAAGGATGAAGAGGAAGACATGGAAGTGGGCCGACATCGAGAACAGGCTCGTGCAGATGGGGGTGACGACTAGAAAGGCCGACGACTGCGGGAAAAAAATGGGACAACCTGTACATGCAGTTCAAAATTGTGCACAAGTTCATGGGAGAATCGGGGAAGCCTGATTTCTTCACACTTACGCCGCGGGAGAGAAAGGAGCGGGGGTTCGATTTTTGGATGGACGAGCGTGTGTATTCAGAGATGATGGCCATGTCCAGGGGCGATCACACTATACACCCCATGAATCTGGCGGACACGGGTGCGGCGAGAGGTGTTCAACTGGCAGGCCAGCCTGGAGGTCGGAACGATTCAGGCGGTAGTGACGGATGCGGGGATGGGCAGGACGACAATCAGGGATCGACGCGGAATTCAAGTTTCAGTGGCGGTGGTGTGGGCGGGTTAGGCAAAAGGAAGAATGTGAGACAACAGACCTTCGACACGATTGCGGACATCATGAAGGACCACGGGAGTTTGATGGCGACGACGGTGGACAGCGCGAGCAAGAGCCAGTGCTCAATTCTGACTAGGCAATGCGACATTCTCGAGCGAGAGCTAGAAATGCAGAAGGAGCACTACGTGAAGACCGACCAGGCGAACCTATTGATGTGCGACGCCGTTATGGAGATTTCTAAAGCGATCTGCGAACGATCATGAAGTCGATGGGCCGCACATGTCCAACGTCCACGCGAATGCCTCGTGTGTGCTTCGGGATTGTTGACGTTGCCCCCGTACTGCGTGCTGCTGTGCGGTGGTGGGCAAGTTGTGTACAGAGGATGGGTCGTTCCTGCAAGCAGTTTCCATTGCAAGAGTCGAATTTTTTGATTAGTTTGAAGGGTGTTGATTGTTGTCATGCCGGTCGGCGCGTCATTCGGTTTCAAATTACAACGCCCGATTATTGTTCAATACCTGTTGATGTGACGCGTTGCAGCCACGCGCGGATGGGGATCCAGCACGATTTTCTTCTTGGGGGGGGCGGGGGGGGGGGGGGGGTGGCAGGGTGTGTTTTTTTGGGCGGGAGGGGACTATGGAGGACAGGGGCGCCTCCACCATGGTCCTCCTGTGTGTTTTTCTGGGGGATGGCAGGCGACGGAAGCATGCCGGGGTCTTTCGACCTCCATCATGGTCCTCCTGTGCGCCCACACGCGTTGTTGGCCATACGACGGATCACCAGAAGCCTTCGGGAAAAAAACGGTCTGTGTACGATCGGCTAGGGGGCGGGCTGTGGTGGACGGCGTGGCGTGTACACGGTGTGCGGCGATAGTGCACCGCGTTGAAAAGGAGATTTCGGGCCGCAGTCCGTACGGCAGTACTCCATTTTCCACGTCTCCGACGGTGTCGTCTGAGCAGTGATTCGTAGCCGCACGCAAGCACTTCCCGCCCTTTGCGTCTCCATGCTCGAGCTTTGTGCACCGCATGCAGCCCCCCTTCACGCACCGCAAGCACGTGCTCTTTTTTTGCTGCCAACCATCGTCGCAGCTCCTGCCCACCACGATTGCGCATCGTCCACGTGTTTCTTCATCGATGCAGCCGTCGTCGATCTCCAACCGTCGTACTTCCACGTGCTCCTTCGTCCACGTGTTCGTCGTTGCCGAGTTGCAGATGACATGGCCCCGAGGAACGCATCAGTGAAGGTCAGGAAAGATAGCGGGGCGGGCAACGCGGGGGAAACCAAGAGAGGCAGAGGGCACATCCCTAAGCCGAAAAGGCAGCGCGTTGAAGAGTTGAGCTCCGAGCACACTTCAGACTTCCGGCCAGAAGAAGTGGTGATGGTGGACGCGCAAGGGACTTCAGCGACAGCGTGATTGGGTTTCGGGCGGGATGGGGTGACGAGGGAACATCTGTCCGTTGTCAAGCAGAGCATTGCTGTTGGTGCTGCCGAGGCATCGCAAAGGACCCTGAAGGCGGCGGGGGTTGTCATAACGGAGGTGCGCGTCCCAAGGCACCTTCCCGCACCGGCGGGGCAGGGCCAGCCACGTCAAGCACTTCCCCTGCAACAGCTGGGGGCTTCAGGGGGGGGGGAAAGCACAGTCCGCGCAAAAGGGCGATGCAACGGCGATCGACACTCGGACGGCGGCGGCGGATCACAATGGTAAAAGAGGAGTCGCCGAAGGTGCGGCCGAGGAGAGGGTAGACGACGTCCGCCGCGACGATGGAAGAAGATACGGAAAGCGGGAGGGCGACGATGACGACGACCGTCCACTTGTGACGAGGTTGAAAGGAGCCGCAAAGGAGGATGGTCTGGAGGAGAGATCGAGGTTGTGGGTTGATTGCGACTCTTTCTGGGGTCAGGGACCGGGGAAACCCTTGAGGGAGGCAGTTGGCGAGTGCGCAGACTACTTCATCGTAATCGCCAACGAAGACGCAGGAGCTGAACCGCCTGCGATGCTCATACTGCCGCCGAACGACGTGCCGCGCTTCAAGATTGAGGACACGACGCAGCGTGAACCGGCTCTGCGCAGAGCGTGCGGCGTGGAGAAACTGGTGCTGCGCGCCATCCACAGCTGGATCTTCAAATCGTCGTCGCGGTCGGCTGGATTTGCTCGTGCAGAGTCGTACATCAGCGTCGACATTGCCATTGACGTCACATGAACAGTTTGGCAGGGGCAGGAATGGTCGAACGTGGTGTCCCTTGCCCTCGTGTACCACACTCTGGCGATGAAGATGGACGTGCCTCTATGGTTCGCAGGGGTGAAGATTGTGGATCAGCCCGAGGACGACGACATGGCGGCGCGGCAGGAGGCGACAGTTCGTCGCATCACGAAGTGCTGGACAAACGCACTGTGGTGTGGACTATGGGCGGACGGCGGTCGCGTGAAACAGGAGAGGTTGTCTAGGCTTGCGGACTGTCTTCGAGCGTTGTTGAGCGCTTCCATGTGGATCATGCGCATGGGTGGTGACGACGACCGTTCGCACTACGAGGCGTGCCTTTACTCGTCCATGGTCGCCAAACCAACAATGATAGCAGCGGGGTCGCACATCTTCAACTGGCGGCGAAACATCGTCGACAGCGCGAACCTCGTCCAGGATCGTATAGGGAAGGCTCACCTCACGCTGGGAGAATACCCTCACTGCATTCCGGAATGGTGTCACTGCGGGTTGGTGTTCGGCCACAACGCGGCCCTGAAGAACGTGGCGGAAGCCGCGAAACACGGATGGATTGGCAGCGGGCCCGCGGCGGAGGAAGTGGGAGACGAGGACGGTTGACACGTGGGTGCGTCCGTGACACAGCGTCAGGGTGCGGATCGTCGACTGATTGGAGCATTGAAAAACGCAATGACGAACGCAGCGCCTGCGACCGCATACGGGGCAGCACAAGCGGGATGGGTGCCAACTGGTGTTGGTTG